CAATTATGGAGGGCCAGCATGCCAGTGTGAGGCCGGGATTAGTTCACCTTCTCACGGGGAATTTTCCTCGGTTGGGAATGGATTTATTATGGCTTCACACATGGACTGGAGCTCATGTCAGCTGAGGGCAGTGACACATCATATGATTCAAATTAGCCTGCTGTGGACTGTTCTAAGGGGTTTAGGTTGTGTATTAAAATGACGACATTTTAAAAACAGCTTGAAAGAAACCAGAATGGCTGAACTGCAATGGTTCCAATTTGTTCCAACTAATCTATCACCTGCTGGAGATATTATTCTAGTGGGTTTCTGGTAGCTGCTGTTTTCCAGGTTTCTCCAAGCCACTGACCTTGCTAATGGGTACAATTGTTGCCTCAGAAGGAAAAAGGTGGGGGCTGGGAGAACTTTGAAGAGGTTTTTGACGTAGAAGTTGGGACCTGCCATTTTCTGTAAAACACCATTAAAAGAACAGAGGAAATAAGGGAATACCCCTGAACTTGAATTATTCTTCTAAAATCAAATGCTAAAAAGCGTTTTTTGCGCTACTTTGTTTAGATACAAGAATCCCTGAAAAATAAACCCAAAAGGCTGAACTCAAAAGCTGTTAAGTTCATAACTATTCTGAAGAAAATGTAAGTTTAGTTATTTATAAGCAGTAATTCTTCCACCTTTCACGGGTCATAAGTTTTAATGCTACCGGAATCTTTGTTGAAAGCAAGAAAAAAATCTTTATCCTGCCAGTGTAGTGGGTTTGAGCCATCAAACTGGCTAACTCAGTATCTTCAGGACTTCTTATATAATACTTTAGAGATGTAGCATATGCAATATACTATTTGAGAAGAGACTTAAATATATGCGCAAATAGATTTCAAAACTAATGGCAGCCCAACGCTTTCTAATGATAATTAAAAATAATAATATGTAAAAAATAGGAGCATTAAATGTAATACTAAACAAAGCCATTTCATTTCTCAAAAGAAGGGGATGATATCGGGAGTATTATAAAGCTAAAGCTTGTTTCTCCAGTCTCCGTATAAATGATCCTACCCTTAGTATACTGTTACTCTAAAATCTGGAAAAAAAACATATTTTTTTAGCTTCCCCATATCTGTAAAATAATATAGTCATATGGCAAGAAGTGGTTTAATGTGTCCTGACTCCCGTTTAATTTGCAATTTTGCCACTTGTGAAAGCTTTCTGGTGTCTTAATATAGAGAGATGCTCTGGCTTGCTGTGTGGTAAGAGAATGTAATTATTTTATGAATATTTATCTATTTTACAATTAGGAGCTACACAGCCACATAGTGTCACATAGCCATTGTTGCTGTCAGTTGCTGTGGAACTGATGTCAGATCATGGTTACCCCCCTATGTGTGCAGAGCGTTTGAAAGGCAGTGACCTTGAAGCAGATCTCCAGGGTGTCTTCTGAGGTCTCTCTTCTGGGTAGGCTCAAGCTGACACCAACATTTTATGAGTAGTCAAGCACTCAACCATTTGCGCCACTGAGGGACTCATACTTATCTACTTTATAAGTCAAATTATTTTAGTAGGAAAAATTTTGACTATGACAGTGAATACTTAAGCATTTTAAAGTTTTTAGGTTAGTGTTTTAGTGGAAATTCCACAAAGCTGATAGATAATTCAAACAATCTGTCCTCAAATAATTTATGAAATGAATGCACTCTTGGTGAAAATGTTTTGACTTAAAGTACTTTAACCATTCACTAGACAATATTTTTGATTGTTCATAATAAAAAGATTTTAAAAGCTACTTAGCTTTATTTGTATTCTTCTTCTCTACCATGCCCCAAATGTATCTGCAGTTTGCTCCTCAAAAACTGTAGCTGATGCTCTTTAAAAAATCATGTATGTTTCATATATAACAGTCATATCAAACCGTGCTTAAAAAGTATAGGTCCCAGATCAAGAGCATCCACTTTACCATATTCATTTTTAGCAAGCTCTCCATATGTGCCTGAAACACACTCAAAGTTTGAGAATTCCACTGTAAAACACCATTTCAATCCACTTACTTAAAAGACTGAGTACCCAAATAGATCATCGCTATTATTGAATGGAAACAAAATTAGAAAGGGCATGTATTTCAACTAAAAACAACTATGTTTTAGAAATCTCATTTGTACTACAAGGCCACTTAAAGTGCTAGAATTACATACACACAACGTTTCATGGAGTCACAAACATTTCTCTTAAAGTTAAATATATCTGTTTGCATTTGAAACATGGACACAATTTACTATCAAGTTGCACATGCTATTCTTTTAACGAACACATTTAATTCAATTACATGTAAATGATGACAGAATTTTCTACCCAAAGTGAGTGAAAGACTGTGCCTAAAAACAAAAAGGAACTGGAAACTAAAAAGGAGAAACTAAGAGGTAATCCCAAGTCTCCCTGTCATTCTTCTAGGAACTAATCATATATTCTTACCCTATTTATCCATAGTAATCTGTCCAATTCTCCACATATCCCAAGAAAGATGCAAAAAGAATACACTATATCACAGTTCAAATGGTAGATTTTTTTTCTCTTAAAAGTATATAAAATCAAGTTTTCTCCTTCCACAATTGGTAGTAACTTAGATTCAGTGAAATACAGTACTTCACACTTATAACTGAGCATTAGGGCTCACATTTCTCTCAATCCATCCATTATTTCACCAACTTTACAGACTTGCCTAACCATCATCATCAGCTTCTTCCTTTGAGTCTTTAAAATCACAGCTGGATATTTATCATGATTAGAAATAGTTCTTCATACTTCTACACCTTTGATATCACAGTGATTAAGAAACATGCTTAAGAAGTACTGGGCCTGAGAGAACAAACCAGCATAGGTGGTCTCAAGCTGTTTACTCCAGACATATGAGTGGCCTGCACTACCTGTAGTTGGGGGCCATAAGTGAATTGGCATGACATGGCACATACTCAACAAGGTCTACCCAGGGATATCTGTCACTCAACTCAAGTCTTACACAGTACCACTAGACAGCATAAGAGCGTCATTTCATTGTTTTACACATTCTTAATGAAGAAACAATTAGTTTGATGACTAACATGTTCTGACACACTTTAAGTATAAAACAACAAAAGGAAAAGTTAAATGTAGGAGTAAAATAAATAGCTAAGACCTTACTGGAGTGAGGGGAAAATAATAGAAAAACAGAAGAAAAGAAGGAAGAACATGAAAAGCAATGAAAACAAGAACAGGAAAAAGTGGAAAAACCTTGTTATGCTAAAATTCCACAGTGCAAAAGTTAAAAGTCTAGGTCTTTGGGGTCATAAAGACCTAGGTTTAAATAGCTCCTTCTTTGGCTAGGACCTTAGGTACATTATTTCACCTTTCTAAATCTTAGTGTTCTTATTACAGAATAGGGATAAATAAGGTCATGTCTACTCCTTGGGTTTATCTGAATGTATAAAGCACGTACTGCCTGGCACATAATAATCATACAGTAAAATTTTATATCTGTATCCCTAAGCCACAGAGTGCTGGGGATGCTGTATGGTAAGCACTGGACTGGTAGCCATAGCACTGGACTGGGAGCCACAAGATTGACAATTTAAACCCACTCAGCCACTCCTGGTGTGGCACTGCAGGATAATGCACTGACCGCGAGGTTGGTGGTTCAAACCTACCAGCTGCTCCTCGGAAACCCCATATAGAAAGTTGTTGTAAGTTGGAACCAACTTGACAGCACTAAACAACAATAACATCTCTAAGCCATGGGCTTCTGGTGGTGCTGTGTAGGATAAGCACTGGACTGGTAATCACTAGGTTAGCAATTCAAATTCACCAGGCACTCTGTGGGAGAAAGCGGTAGCTTTCTGCCTGTGTAAAGAATTATAGCCTAGGAAACGCTATACAGGGTCACTATGAGTCAAAACTGACTCAACAGCACCTTAGCAACAACAAACCCCTAAGCTATGGTATTTTCAATCACTTCACATGCATGCAAAAGTTGGACAATGAATAAGAAGCCAGAAGTATTTATGCCTTTGAATTATGGTGTTGACCACTACTGAACACACCATTGGCTGTCAGAAGAATGAACAAGTGTTTGGAAGAAGTACAGTCAGAATGTTTCTTAGAAACAAGGATGGCGAGACTTCATCATGTTTTACAGATGTGGTATGAGGAAGGATCAGTCCCTGGAGAAGGGCATCGTGTTGGGTAAGATAGAGGGTCGGCAAAAATCAGGAAACCCCTCAATGAGATATAGTGAGGAAGTGGCTGCAGCAATGAGCTCAAGTATAGTAATGACTGTGAGGAAGATACTGGACTCGCCAGTGTTTTGGAAATCTTTATGGGAGCAGAAAGCTCCAGTGTTGCATATGGGGTTAATATGATGTGGAACCAACTCGATATCTATGGCACCTAAAAACCACACACCTCAACACCTTGCTAAGCATTTGAAATAAGCATATTTATCTATCCAATGTATGTAAGCACTCTTAAATATGCATATCATGTATCTTACTCAAGCACCTGTCCATTCACTTCATTCTTTGATTTTTTAGGTGAGGAAATTGAGGAAAGGAAATTAGATTCAACTTCCTAGGATCACAGATTTAATTAGTACAAAAGTTAGAACTATCAATCTTGGGTCTTTGGTTCTAGTCAACTATTCTTTCATAGATAATTAATTTTTGTAAAATTAAAGGTAAATTTAATTCATAAATGTATGTTTGCCTTTTGATTTCTAGAAAGGGCAGCCTGAAAACCAGGCACTGCTGGAAAACAAAACGTTCATATTTGACCAAAACAATGTCAATTTCTGTCTAACTGATATAATGTATATGCTAATATGTTGTTGTTGTTAAATGCCATCGAGTCGGTTCCAACCCATAGCGACCCTCTACAGGGCTTCCAAGGAGCTTGAACCACCAACCTTGCAGTTCAAACTGACTTAGCAGTCTAGCACCACATACTCACATAAAAATAAAGTCCACACACTTGAATTATGACTTGCTTACCTGGGCCATTAAGGAAGTCTTTAATTTGCAGTGTTACAAGGGAAGGTGGAATACCACTTCTGCTGTCTATTTCTCCAGGCACAGTTTGCAGCCAAACAGTGCAGTAGTCAAGGGCTTCTGGCAGAGTCTTCCCAGGATCTGAAGGGAAAAAATTGAAATGAACAGTAATTACATCACAGATACCTCATTTTGCTGTAAGAGTTCAAACTGATAAAAGAGAGAAAAGAAATGTTAAATAAATAATTGCATGCCATACTCACTGACTCATTTATTTGCACAAATAGCAAAGGAAAACCTGTATCCCGAAACTAAGCTAAAAGAGCAAGGTGGGAAGTCATTTTCTAGAACCAGTCAATGAGGCAAAGATATTTTGAATATTCTATCTTTAATGGCGCTCTGGTAGCAGTTTGAAACTACAAAACGTTCCATGGGCAAAAGACGAGGCTTTCTGCTCCCGTAAAGATTTACAGCCTCAGAAACTATGCACCCCAGCACCACCACATCTTTGTGAGAAGGTAAAGTTTATGGACAGGTGAGTTGCTAACAGTTGAACAGTTGAATTTACTTTTTGTTTTTTTAACGTGATATTGTAAAAAAAAAAATACTAAGAACAGGGCAACCTTTTCAGGCATTTTTTTAAAAAGGCATGTATATGTTTAAAGATGCAATGGATTACAGATCAACATATGTGGCAGCATCTCCCTGAATTAAGTCAACAGAAGGAAGAGTTGAGAACAGAACAAAACTATAAGAAAAAACTCAGAGAATCTGGGAGATCAGTCTATGATCAAAACAAGTTCAATGTAAAAGAAGGTAAACATGTAGGAACAGAGATCCAGATAGTGATAAGATCAGGTCGATTACAG